ATCTATCCATCCATCCATCCATCCATCCATCCATCTATCCATCCATCCATCCATCCATCCATCCATCTATCCATCCATCCATCCATCCATCCATCCATCTATCCATCCATCCATCCATCCATCCATCCATCTATCCATCCATCCATCCATCCATCCATCCATCTATCCATCCATCCATCCATCCATCCATCCATCTATCCATCCATCCATCCATCCATCCATCCATCCATCCATCCATCCATCTTGATGTTTATGTTGACGGTGTATCAGAATAATCTTTTACTTTTGTCTCACCTCCATGCATGGCATCCAGACGTATCTTGATGTGGTCGTCTCCTGACAGCAGCTCCTTCAGGGCCGCAAAGTCGAAGATGTTCCTCAACAAGTTAGCGTACGATTCCACAGAGTCCACAATCTCCACTGAACACAACCACCGGCAAAATGTTAGACAGATATTCTGACATTTTCTTTCACTGATATAATTATAATTTTTTTTTAAGTTCACCTGTGAAAGGTTTGAACTTGTTCTCGAGATCGAACGTCTGTTTTCCCAGGGTTGTCAGATCGGCCAGAAGTCCAGGACAGATGGCGAACTCTTCGATGGTTTTGCTGATTTGAAAGATCTTGGCTGTGATGACCTCATTGGATGGTCCTAATTTTTGAAAAAAAAAAAAAAAAAACACAAACAAACATTTTTTTAAAATGTAATATTCAAATGTTATATAACCTGACACTAAATATTGGTTCGATTTTTCGGGAGTGCCCGCTCTCTGGGTGTTGCACCTCGGCAACACGTGTGTCTTTCACAGCCTCTCTTGTGAGAGTGTTTAGCTCGTGTCTGTTGCTCTTAAACGCATTGGCGTCTTCGGTTACAATACCTCCGTTTGCAGTGTCAAACTTAATGCCAAAGTCTCCCTCCGGTCCACCGGGGTTATGGCTGGCAGTGAGAACGATGCCGCCGATGGCTTTGTATTTCCTGATCACGCAGGACACGGCCGGCGTGGACATTATCCCATGGTGTCCGATGATCACGCGGCCCACCTGAGGAAATGTCACACAAGTCATTAGAGCATGTATTTATATCCAGGTTATTATTTACATGTATATTTGAGTATATTTGGAAGGATGCGGGGAAGTGTTTGGTGTGGGTCGTGCCATGAAAAAATAAAAAAAGCATCCAATGCATGCGAATGTATTTTAAATCCCACGATGTATGCCCTATACATTACACAAGTAGTAGAAAGTACCAGAAGCTCAAAGCTGCTGTAATCCAAACCCAGGAAGCGCAGCTGGTGTTGGGCAGAATGTTAAAAACAAACAGGTCTCGTGTTTCTATTTGCAGACAGGAGACTGGCTAAAAGGAGATGCGTTCAGGGCTACATATACATAGTTGCCCTGGCCTTATATTTGTACAGTAAGTAATGCCATCATTTAAGAGCCTCACAATGCTACTGGCTCTAGGAAGCTTTAGTAAATGTCAAGATTCCAAAGTGTCAACATGGGTTCAGTCAGTGGTTGCCAACTTTTTTTTTTTTTGGCTTGTGACACCATTTTGACAGCAGAAATTTCTGGCGACCTTAGAGACTATTTTTTAAAAAATATTTTCTGTATATTGAGCACAGATTTGAACGAATTCTCCCTTAAACAATAACCATGTTAGGAAAAACTGTTCTGTACAGTCACATATACACATATATGTGCATACACACAACACAGTCTATTGTATACATAAACGTTTCTATTCCTATAGTTGTATGATATATATTCATAGTACATATATTTCTTATATATTTTAATACATATATTTACCTTCATTTAAATATGTAAATTTATTATTTTAACAGATTAAAAAAAAAATCAAAATACGACATACTGCATGCGACCCCATTTGAATTTCAGACCACCCCATATGGGACTGTGACCCTAAGGTTGAAAAACACTGGGTTGAGGTATGTGTTCTTGCCATTGTTTACTCCCATGGTCCAACATGTGTATATTGGAGACCGGGGTAATGTGTCCATAAATTACCTACACATATATATATTATACATATACATATATACATATACATATTATACATATACATATACATATACATATACATATACATATATATATACATATACACATATATATGTGTATATATATATATATTTATATACATATAAAACTGTCAAATTATATCCATCTATCTATCTATCTATCCACCCATGCGCAGACTCAGCAGCACGAACACACAAACAAAAACACAGCAAAGTCAAGTCACGCCACACACATGGTGTCACTGACCCCGTTGGCAGCTGCCATCTGCACAATGACCCCAATCGCTATTCGGTTAAAGTAGCGTCCGTCTCCACCAACCACGACTGTAGAACCCTGACGGTCGCGCAGGTCAATGGAAGAGAAGATACTCTGGACGAAGTTATGCAAGTAGTGTCTCCTGGACTGAAACACCGAGACCCTTTTCCTCAGACCGTTGGTACCCGGTCTCTGGTCAGGGTACGGGGCCGTCGGCACGGTCAACACTTGCAGAGCGCAGTTTTCCATTGTTGTAGAAACCAAGAAGCAATTCTAAACAGTTGTGGCGCAAAGAGCCGTCCAGTTGTTCGGAGGGGAAATCCCCCGTCAGTAATCATCGAAGAATAGAGCACGGACGGGCAGAACAGGAGGGCAAAAGCCGGACTCCTCCTATTATTTCACCAGAAGCACGGGGTAACAGCGGGACTTCTGCAGCTCAAAATAACATTTTAAACTAATGTGTGTCCGCACAGGCCGTAACTGAAGACGCCCCTCCTTCACACATGTGCCGGGGGATCACTGTCTGGCAAAAGGCCTGCAACTCACAGAGTTGGCTTGAGTCTGGATCAAGTGAAAGATTCTTAAGTGTGCCTTACAGAGAGGACCTGAGGGTGCAGCTGCGATCGCGACATTGACAGAAAGAATTTAATCTGTCGTCGCAGTAAATCTCGACACTGTTTTCGAAAGAGAGTTTTGACTGTTGAACAGAGGGGGGCCTATTAAAAGGGCATACAGAAATAGATGTTGTTTACTATTGTTCAGTTTTATATAGCTACATGGGGTAGAACTCTACCCCCCTCTAGTGGTTATACAGGGAAACACACTTTCCATAACTCAGGGGTGTCCGCATTTGCTTTGCGATCTACATATTGGGCAACCCTGCGTTAACTTAGAAGAAATTTTTTTTTCCAATAACAACATGTTGTTTGTGATTGTTTTTCAAAAAAAAATTTTTTTTTCCAATAACAACATGTCAAAAAAAAAATTCTTTGAAAAAATTTTTTTTGAAGAAATTTGAAAAGTTTTCTTGAAAATTTTTAGATGAAGGGGTCGTGAGAGTGAAGGGGTCGTGACAGTGAAGGGGTCGTGACGGTGAAGTCTCCTCAGACAGACATGTTGACACTGTTCATGGGCTGGTGAGAACTGGACTCTGAGATGAAGTGGATCATGGTGAGGACCAGGGTCAGGGTGGGATTTGTAGGTGAAGAGGATTAGGTCTGAGACAAAGATAAGTACGTGATGATTTTATTGTTATCACATGTATGTATTTATATAGTTCCATCCTCCCATTACGAAAACTCGATAATGCAATGCCGGGTTTTGTCAAATGATGCGTGACCTGAAAATAGTTTTGGGGGGAAAACCGGCTGTATGTGAAAGTGAAAGACACTAGATGGCAGCATTGCAGCTCATTTTATTTTTATGCAGAATGCTGGTGTCAGCATCTCAATATAGTGGTTTGTACGGATAAATAAATAAATATTAACAGGCCCTTAATAGTATTTCAATTATTCAATTATTATAATTAAAAAAATAAGGGGGCGGGGCATTGAAGAAAAATAATTGAGAAACTCTGTTTTAACCCATCATTATGTGATGGGTTAAAGCTCAAAGAAGGTTATCATAATGGATGTCCGATAGTTTTGGCCGACCAACTTTTAGAGTGGTTTATACAGATAAATAAATAAATATTACCAGGCGCTCGAAAGTATTTCAATTCTGTCCTCTAGGGGGCAGAAAATAATTGAGGAACTATGTTTTAACACATCGTGTTTGGACAATGTCGGCATATCGGGTAATTAATAAAATGAAATAAATACAATCTGGACGGATTTTTTCTTTTCCTAGAACCTAAAAATATGTGGACGGCAAAATGAAACTACATACAGAGGACACAGTTTCATTTTGTCTCCAAGATTGTCTGACACCCATTCACGCTGGCTGCATCAAAAAAAAGCAAAAGAAGACGGAGAAGCAGGAGTAGGGAAAAAGGGAGGTCCGGGGTGGACCGAGATCTGCGTTAGCCTAAAGGAGTAGGACACTTTCTGGGGGGACTTCCACTGAACTCCTCTCCTTCGCTCGGAACGTCCCTTCGGTCTCACGTGGAAATACCGACCGTTTGGGTTCGTGTCTCCGCAGACGTTGAACCACCATCCACCTGCAGAAGGAAAGAAAGAACGTGTCTGACGGGTATCTTTCCCCCCCGAACATAGCCGTTCGAAACATGTCCTCTACCTGTCTGTTGGTGGGCACAGTTAGAGTCTCTGTGACCGTCCTTGTCCCTGTCTCTGGTGGAGAACGTCACACCTGCGTGGTTACCCATGAGATCCGGCAAATCTCCAGACAAATACTTGAGGTGAATGGTGTAGTTGCTCTCCGGGCCCTCCAGGTAGAATCGGTATTTGACGAAATGCCTGCTGTGTTTCCAGTCCTCCAGCTGGATGTCCAGGACCGTGTTGCCCTGGGCAGCCAGAGTGTGAATTTTCCCAAGGCCCAGCCAAAACTCTCCTGGTTTAAAATGCAGAGGATTTACATGGTTTTCAATCCAAATGAGGATAGTCACAAATATTGTTTATTCCTCTGTGTTTATCAGGTTAAGAAACTCTGCTGCATGGACTTTACTAAATTGTTTTTTAAACTCCCCGGGCCACAAAAAATGACTTGGCGGGCCAAATTTGGCCCCCCGGGCCTTAAGTTTGACACATGAGGTATAGACTATAATACAGAGTTTTTTCCTCACCCTGTAAATCTCCAAACCCATGTTCGTACTTCTCCCATGTCTGATCAAAATTCACGGACCCATTTATTCTTCTCTGGATGACCGTAGCACCGTAATCTGGAAGAAAAAAAAAAAAAAAAAAAAAAAAAAACAAAAACACAAAGACAAGCTAGATTACACAGGGACCTAAAAATAAATTTAAACCCCCACTCCTAAAAATTACTTCAAGTAAATTATCTTTTGAGTTAAATGACATCAATCTGTGTCCCAAAAAGAACAACCAACAAACGTTTCTTAGCTCCGGTTTAGATGGTTATGTCGGTGGACAGAGTGGGACAGTCACAGAGAGACATGTGGTGTGTGGAGACATTGAGAATGGGTTGACCCACCCTGCCCCCTCTGGAGGTCCAAAAAAGAAAGATAAAAAGGGGGAGGAGGGAAGTGGGGGGTGGGAGGACGAGGGCTTTTTACAGGAAAAAAAAAATACAGTGACCAGGAGCACAGAGCGTAACGGAGCAAAGATCACTGGCTGTGGAAGAGAAAGAGAAAAGTGTGGAGAGAAAGGTCAAAAAGTCCCCTGCACTCTGTGTCTGGGAAACCCACAGCTTATTAATCATGTTATAACAGCAAAAATTGCATTGCACTGCTACTGCTCCGCAGTAACGCCCCCTGCTGGCCGATCGTATAGTTCTTTACTCACCAGTTTCCGCGTCTCTGAACAAGTGGGAGACGGAGGAAAACGGAGTGAGAGTTGGCGGTTCGTTGTTGAAGGGTTCAGACATCCCTTCGATGGTCTCCTGAGCCAAGGTGTTGACTGACAGCTAGAAAAATGACAACAACTGATTAGTCATCAACACAAGTACACAAAGATAAATTAGCATTAATGTTTTTTTTTTCTAACAAGCTGTTGGACTGAGGAAGATTCTCGCCGAGACGGAAATTCATTGACAGATACCAGTTGAGTAACACGCAATTAGCGCACATCCAAGAAAGACTTTCGGGCTTCCTTCCCGGTTGTTGAGAACAGACAGACGACACCACCCTTGTTTACTGGCAGACTTTCCTGAGTTGATCCCGTCGATGCCGTCGTCTCACAGTCGCTCAGTCTACACCCAAACCACACACATTGTTCTCCCGAAGCCTCCGTCCTCTGCCGTTAAAAAAACCCTGCGCCGACCGTTAACTGTCAGCAAGAACAGTGGTTTTTTCCCCACCAGAGGGTGCTAGAGCGGCCTCAGAATGTTGTAGGGACAATACGAAACAATAAAGCTAGTGTGTAGCTAGCCAGTGCACAAATGGACATGTTTGTTGATAACTTTTTTTATGCTAAAGAAATGAGTGAATAGTGAATGAAGGAGTTTACAAAGGGGTTCATCGGGCCGTAAGCTAACGCTGTTTGGAGGGCGCTAACGTGGAAAAGTTCGGGAACCCTTGATCTAGAACACTGAAGTGATGATTTTATTTTATTTTACTTGAATGAATTAAATCATTTTCACAATTAATCATGATTATTTGTTGGAAAGGAAGACCAAATAACAGGAGGTAGCATGTGTTTTACATCCGTTATTGCGTGCGATTAATCGAATTGGTGCGATTATTAATTATTAAAAAATGCCAAGAAAAATTTGTGAAAATATACTTCACAAAATTTTGTGAGTTTTGAGTTGGTGGGAGTTTTGTTGAATTTATGTCAGTACTGTGCATATATATTTATTTATTTTTATTTTTTTTTCTTACAAAAAAAAAACTATTCTAACCCTAAAGAAAAGAAAGAAAGTAAGTGACGACCTACCTTCTCCTCTAAATAAGAAAGTGACGACCTACCTTCTCCTCTAAATTCTTGATCTTCGTCTTCTGGAAGTTGATCTGGTCACTTTGATCCCTCACGGCCTTCAGCAGTTCAGTGATGCTCCTCTCTTGACTGTGAATCACAGCCTGGAACACAATAGAAACAGATTAAAAAAAAAAAAAAGCTATCAACGGATCGTCAATTTAAAAATATTACAATGAATTCAGTTGCTTCAGTTGCCTGCGTTTCTCGGAATGCCTTTCCAGGAACGGCTGTAACAAAAACAATTTCCTAATAAAGTATTTTCCGATTCCGATGACGTCACGCGTAGCTTTCGTCACCGGGTCGCTCACCTTGAGGTCGTTGATCTCTGCCACTTGCTCGCTGGTCACCAAACCCTGCGACAGACTACTCAGCCTCATCTCCAGGACGTCCACTTTGCTCTCCAACTGACTTCTTTCCTGCAGGATGTTCTCCACCTTGGAGTTGATCTGAGCGGACATGCCTTTGATCTCCTCGCTGTTGGCCTTCAGCACCACCGTGGTCTTTTTCAGCTCCTCCCCTTCCTCCTTGATCTCGCTGGTCAGCACTGAGAGCTGGTAGAAGGAGCGATCGAAGATGTTCAGCTTCTGGAAGATGTCATTGATCTGTCCCTTCGTCCTCTGCACAAACTCCCGCAGGCTGTGGCCCAGCTGGAGGAGGCCGTTGGCCAGGAGACGCACGTCGTCCAGGGCAGCGAAGCGGGACCGGGTTTCAGCTGGAGCCTGGTGCTGCGGGACAGAGGTCTCCTCCTGGCCGTAGAAGGCGGTCACGCCAGCAACAGACAGGACGAATATTACGGAAACGAGTGTCACTTTCATGTTGTTGTTGTTTTGACGCTCCACGATTGGCTGAGCTCGTCCTCCTCTGAAGACGGACGCAGAGCCAGCAGGGGGAAAAGCTGGGTTTTATAAGGACACTGTTTGTTACCGGGTTATTGATTAACTTGATCTGATCAATACCTGCATGTAGGTAGTTGATTTGTCATCCTGATTGGACGGTTGAAATTCAATTCCCCGTTGGTTAACGGTTATTTTTGAATAATAGGTAGATTGCGTGATTTGTTTTCACTTTGATCCCAGGAAAGGATTTCGAGCTAGCTGAGAACCTTGGTGCTTTATGGCAAATCTGCCAGTTCATCTTAAACCTTCTTTTTTTTATTCATTTTTTTTTATTTCGGTCACTGTTTCATTTGAAACTCAGTTGGCCACCAAACATCTGGTTTCCCCTGACGATCACTGCACCTTCTTTTTCGCCACGTTCGGGTGGCAACACCTGATGAAAGGCCAAAAGCGATCAATATAAAACTGAGTTTTCCTCGCATAATTATTGCATAACAGAAGAAGTCTCGTAATCACACAAATATTGTATGAATGTTCCAAAAAATGTGTTTTTTCCACCTTTCTACGACCCAGAACGTTTGTTTTCCTTGACCTTTAGTTGCCGGGGAGCAGAGAGGTGACCCAGATTACACTGAGGCTCAACGGACAATATGACTTTTGAGATTCAATATTACGTAACGTCGCTGTTTCGAGCAATGTAAATTAGTGTTATGGTAACTTGAATGCAAAAAAAGTTGTCGGGAAAAAAAGAGCGATGTCCTTAAAAGTCCCTGACAACCCGAATTCCCTCCCGCCCCCTCCTCTGTTAAACGTTAACTTTACTCATCGTAGAACTTTGTGCGCCCTCGTGTGTACACAGTAAACACAGGACCTGAGTAATACAGTGTCCAGTAAAATGACCAGAGGATTTCAGAATGCAAATATAAAGACTGGTGTTTTCCAACCTTGGGGTCGCAAGCCTGTATGGGGTCCCCGGATATTCGAGTGGGGTCTGCGGAAATTTCTAGTAAATTAATAATACACATCCATCCATTTTTCTATATATATATAATTATCTCCAGCAGTTTTTGTTTCCGACACACACACATATAGGGGAATGGTAGAAATACCACGCCGTTGCAAGTTAGCAAGTATCTGCCGCGCATTAAAAATGCAGCTCTTGACATGACCTGACACGAGATTCCCTTTTCACCTCTTCGACCTTTGATTAAACCACTTCAAAAAAAAAAAGGGGGGAATTCAGAGCAGACGGAACCCTTCATTAAAAGCCGGTTTGGCAGCGCGGGAGTGATTTTTCTATCCGCTTCTTCGGTACGTCCAACACCGAGCCGCGGTCGTGACATGACCTCGCGTAAGACCCTGGCTGTAGTAAATGCGCCTTGGGTCGTTTTCAGTCGGCCGAGTCAGCTACTGCACGGCCTGGAACTCCCCTCACCACAAGCCACAGTTACATAATGAGCGTCGGACGGGGGAGAGAAGACGTTAGACTGTGACAAAAAATCTCAGTGGAGTGAATTACCAAGCAGCGTTTCATGCATTGTTGCCTCGGCGTGAAACTGCATCACCGAGGCATTTGTAAAAAAAAAAAAAAAAATGTATTGAAAGTACATTTTACAAAGATGCTACGCCGGTGGAAAAGCCCTGTAGGAATTTTTCCACAAATAGTATTTTGCTTAAAAATAATACCCCAGAAGCTGGAATATCTCCTGGAATTCGCTGCGTTAAACCCAAACGTCTATTTCTACGGATTATTAATTAAACAGTCTTTTTTTTTTTTTTTTAGCTTTAGCCATTTGTCCCTGAGAACAACATCAATCTATACGTTTCCCCCTAACGTTGTGCTTGTTGGCCAGTCGTTGAGCAGTGTTTGTGGTCAGTCCATCAGCAGTTGTTTGGTCCAATAAAGACAGTGTGTGTTTTTTTTGTTTTTTTTTTTCTTTCCCTTCCTCGCTATTTTTCTACGGAGCCAAACCACAATCCCTCTCAGAGTCAGTTGTCTGCTCGGGTAATGGAAAATGTATTTCTTTATACATAAGACGTAAGTCTTTTTCCATCTTTTGCGAAGCCCGATCGGGTGCTTTTCGGCCTCTCAGAGTGCGTTTTTTTTTTCCTCCACGTTTTAAAAACATCCCGAAATGCATTTCGCGTGGTTTGTTTTGCAGTTGGACACTCGGAAGAGATGTTTTGGTTGAAGACTGAAGACTGAGTATCAGTGAGGATTCGTGCGTCTCTTCTGCATCTTTTTAGGGCAGGGGTGTCAAACATAGGGCCCGCGGGCCAAAACCGGCCCGCTAGTGGGTTCAATTCGGCCCGCTTGATGTAATTTTGAATTTTATGTCCGTATTTGGAGGTTGACCTTAGCGGGCCGTATTTTGAGGTTGACATGAGGTTAGCCCGCGACCCGATAACGGATAAGCGGATGAAAATGGATGTCCTGGATGGACATGAGGTTCAAAACCTGAGATGGATCATAGCCATACAAAGAATCTAAGACAAATGAAAAGTAAAACCTAAAGGAAGGGACTGCTGTGCTTCAGTGGATTATCAAGGTTAAAGTCCACATAACTGCGGGGTAGGGTTACACCTCTGTCACACGGAGGACCGCTAGTACTGCACAGTCACTTTTTTTTTTTTTCAAAACCTGAGATGGATGGGTAGCTGCCACCCACTGAGGTGACCCCGTAGCATGTGCACCATATGTCGACAGGCTGTCACCGGGTTTTTTCCGAAGAGAGTGACGAAGGCCCGCATCGAAGCCCACCTCTCAACTCCCGTTGCTGTCAGGAGAACTGGGTGTGGTCCCTTATGTTTAACCCCCACAGTTGTCCATCTGCTGGGACAGTTGATATGGCAGACATGTAAGCAACCCCCCCCCCCGACACCCCCCTCTCTCCCTGCACGCACTTTTTTACACACAAGCACGACCAGTGTCAGTTATGGCAGGGGCCGCTCAGTGGCATTTAGCAGCAGCCGCAGCATACCACTCTCCCTGACAGCACCTCCTCGTCCTCTCTGGAGACAGACTAGGCTGAGCCCGAGCTCAGATCAGACTGTGGTGAACCCTCTGGAAAGTACACTCAGACCTCAGTGTGACAAAGTGGAGGAAAACAGGAGCAAGCACATCACGGGGTGAGTTCTGATTTAGCATTTATTTCGTTCCCGCTTTCTTGAAAACAGCGGAAAATGTAAAAACCCCTGACAGCACTTTTTTTTTACGTATTAAAGGCGTGATCTAGGCTAGGCTAAGTTCAGATCATACATTTGTTTTTGTTTTTTTTTAAACTTTGAAAGTTTAAGATGAAATGTTTGTTAAATGCTACTGGAATAAATGACAACAACAAACACACACCCACCTACGCACAGAAGCACACAAATTAGCAACTTTCTATTTTAACCTTGCTATGTTGACATACCATTGCGTTCCTCCTTGCATGAAGCCGCCGGCAACTGGCAGCTGTTGGATCCTTAGAACTCGGCTCTGCGTTTCTCTCAATGAGGTCTGAGCGCCTCATTGCATTTTTGACCCCACTTTCGCTAGAACAGGAGCGGGACATAAAGAAAAGAAGAAAAAAAAAAAACGAATTATAAAAAGTTTTTAAAAAAAAATTAGATTTACATGAAGATCATTTAGAAATAAGTTAATTGCGAGTACGACAGAAAAGACAGGAGAGAAGGAGAAACCAGAAAAGGGAAATGAGTTTTTCTCCAAACAGTTGGCTTGGTTTCTAAATCAACTCTGAGCAGAAGAGAGGGTTCAGAGGTATGTGCTGGAAAAACCACAGTGTGAGCAGCCAAAAATGTTGAGGAGAGAAAGAGGTTTTTCCGGGAAAAGAACATTAAGACATTAAAAGCAACGTTCGAACATGTAGTGTACGGAATTGACAAACGGGAGAAAGGTAGGCGTTTGCATAAAACAGTATCAACAACGTAACCTGGATAGCTTTAACGCTTTAGAGTTTAATGCTAATAGGTGTAAAACTCCGACAGAGTTGCTATACCGAAAGAAGTCTTTCATTAGCATTGTTCGGCCTTCGGGTTTGGAGAGTTCCCAAAGCGCCAAAGCGCCACTCCGATATCAACATTTTCTAGATATCCTATAAGCCAACATTGTCAAAACACTTCATTTCCGATTCGGATATCAACCGATACGAATACATGCAGCCATTTTCCCTCCAAAACTGCGGTAAATGTATCTGGACACCACAAGCAATCCAGCATATTTGGAGAAACCTTATTGGGTTTTCATTATGGGAGGAAAAAAACTGATAACGATTCTTACAGATATTACATCATCACGCCGACGATGACATCAGCCAAGAGTAATAATTAAAGATGTACATCGTCTCCGTCCTAAAGAAAGGAGACGAAGCCGAAGAGTGATAAAATCACTGTACAATGTACATCGTCTCTGTCCAAAAGAAAGGAGACGAAGCCGAAGAGTGAGGTAAGGATGCCAGGATTTTCAAAGAATTACAAGTTCCTACGTAACGAGATCTAGATGTTCAATAATGGCCGCCGGAGAGCGTTTCAATGAAAAAAAAAACCAACAACAAACAAACAATATCTTTCCCACGGTACCAATTTGGTGGTGTCTGTTTGCTGCATAGCTGAGATTGTTTGGGTCTGTGGCTCAGTGACTGTGGCGTCTGAAGAACAGCGGTCAGGAGGTGGTGTGAGGATGAGGGGAGAGACACTGAAAGTGACTACTGGACCGTTGAGTACAATCTCATCTCCACCGGCGTTGATTTGCAAGAAAAACCTTGTACTGCAATAAAGATTAAAGGCAACGGTCCAGGAAGAAGTGACAGTCAGTAAAAGTAAAGCAACGGAGACGTAGCGGGAGACAAAGTGAGAGGAGGAAAGTAGTGAGTCAGAACAATGACTGCCTGTATTTATGTCTGTAGGAGTATATTTTGTCCTGCTGGCCGTCGCTGCCGGGCTTAACCAGCATCGGCTATTTTCGGCTCCGGTCCTGGATGGTAGGGCTGTAATCAAAGGAACATGAGGCCTGCAGCGTTAAATAATAGCTGCATGATGCATGGAAGAAATGAAGCAGTGACAGTGTGAGAAAAACAAAGAGAGAGAGAAGTGCAGCACACATGTGAGTTTCACTGTGCGCTGCTATTTTAAAGTAGATTTTTTTTTTTTTAATTTAATAGCATTGAAAATTTATTTTCTTCTGCCCATTTGTGGAATATTCCCAAAAGTGATTGTATCTATTTTTTTTTTTTATAGATGATGACCAGATGATGTGACGGCAAATGTTACGAGAACCGAAAGAGTGCACAATGGAAGAGCAAAATGGTAAGGAAATAACAGAAACAGAAAAGAAGAGGGAAAAGACTGACTGAGAGCTTTTCTAAATTTAAAAAAAAAAATTAAAAAAATTTTTTTTTTTACTGTCTTAAACCACAGTGTCACACATTTCCCAGCCTTTACTACATCTTGATTTACATTTAGCACACAACTTTTATCCAAAGCAACCGAAGAAACTACAACATTCGGAAGCTAAAAATGACGGAATCAAAAAAAAAAAAAAAAATTCTCGTTTTCTCGTTTTCTAACTTTCCAGGAACTACTTCATTTCATAAACCCAAGAAGACCGGATTTAAAGGGAAGCCGCCTTACTCGGTAGAAACTCCGTACGGCTTCCAAATAGACTTGGACTTCTTGAAATATGTAGATGACATAGAGAAGGGCAACACCATCAAAAGAGTCCCAGTCCAGCGCCGGAGCAAAGGCCCCAGGGCAAGCACTCTTCCCCGGCACCTCAACACCTCCGGAAATGGCTATCGCTCAACCCTCTGGGGGTCGACCGGAGCTCTTGGCCCGAGGTCCCGACCGACGGACGTCCATCATCCTCCGAGCCACAGCTCATCGGTGTGCGATCGCCGATTGCAGCTATCTCCCACCGGGCTCAAATCCTTGTCGGAGATGGAGGCTAGAATCAAAGAGTTCGATGAGCAGCCCCTGGGTGAGCACATCAGACCTCACCTCCTCCGAGCTTCCAGTCTCCCTCTCACGGTACTGCTGAGGCAAACGTCGGAGTCCACAGATGACGCCGCCGCCAGTCTCAGGAGTTCCAGGGATCACCTGGATGGAAGGAACACGTCCTGCGAAAGCATTTTCGATTCGGCGGGTAGTCCCCAACCGAGGGAATGTTCCAGAATGCCAAGATGTCTGTCCGAGGCCCTTGAACATGTCAAGGAGCTGGAGCTGGAGGTCAGGGTCATCCCAGAGCTCAGGGCTCAGATCCGTTTCCTCCAAGAGGAAAGAGAAAGACTTTGTCAAGGCCTTAGTCCACAAGTCTATTCTCCAAAAATGAACGGAACCGCCGACCATGGCGCTTTTTCCTGCTATAGCATTACGGACGTCAAGCGGCCCCGGCATGAAAGTCACATCACGTTTCCTAAAAGTCACAAGGCCGGTCACGATGACGTCCGTTCCTCACAAGAGTGGAGGGCCAGTACAGATCTGGACGAGCTGCTGACGGTCACATCCCTGCAGGCTAAAGTAGCCGTCCTAGAGCAGAAGCTCCACGAAACTGGGCTGGAGCTCCAGAGAGCCTTAGGTCTGCTAAAGGAGCAGCAAGAAGAGGGTAAGAGAAAAGACGAAAGAATCGAGAACCTCGTCAGGAATCCCGCGGTGTGGGTACGGGCGGAAAGGGTGATGGTGGACCAGGATGGAGACGAGACCGCGGTGAGAACGTTGGAGTGTAACGATAAAGTGGTTTCCTCCAAAGGCTTAGACACCATTTTTGAGTCTAAGACACCGCCGGTGTCAGATCGATCCGGACAGACTTCAGATGCGGACACAGCGGTGGTTGTCCGCCACATAAAAAAGATCAAGAGGCTCCTGGAGCAGCAGTGGGAGTGCTTGCGTGCCAACAGCAAGTCAGGAAAGGAAAGTCAACTCCTAACACAACAAGACTCCAAAGTCGGCTACCTGCAGCGGGAGATGATGGCGCTGGTTGACGTCCTGGAATCCTACTACACTCAGAACAGAAGAAATGATAAAGAAATGATCGCTCCGAAAGGTACAGATTTACACATCGACAGAATGGGCGAAAAATGTCCTGAAAATGGTTTTTCAGACACATTCTCTTTCCCCCGTCTCCCCTGCAGCCCTCAAGTCCATCCTGAAGACGGACATGCTTATGGAGACGTCCAAAAGCCAACACTCCGTGGACGTTAACGAAGGGTTAGTAAGAATCTGAGTCTAAGTGTTGTGTTTATGGTTACTTCATGTTTTCGTTTGTGAATTATTACTGATGCTCATGTAGCAATATATTGATACAACATATGTATTTACTATTTTGGAGGACCCATATATTTGATGATGTAAAAACAAAATTAAATTGGTATGAGATAAGAGACGAGAGATGAGATCAAATTGATGCAATTTCTTCCCAAAAATACCTTCAAATTACAGTAGTCCCTCGCTATTCCGCGGTTCATCTTTCGCGGATTCGCGACTTTGCGGGTTTTTGAAACTGTATATGTAAAATATACTGTATCCCGGATTTGGATCTGCAAGTGATGTCACGGGAATGGGACGACGATACGGTTCGATCGGTCCAATTTTGCAACAAAATCGACGACGTCGTCACTGCCTACTAGCTACTCTTCGACCGCCAACTGCCGATCACGATGTTCGGCAGCCTCGCCAAAAAGAGCCAGTTCCTGCTACTATTACGGCTACACCTTCGGAAACTGTGGAAGGAGGTGCCCCAAGAAATGGCGCCACCTTCTGGAGAGACGTAATATCAATCATCGGCGGATGACAGTTCCTCCTGTGAACCCACCGTGAATGTCCGCCTTTAATGAACATTTATACGCTTTCGGTGCAGCTAGCCTCGGCATTTATGCAAGTACCGTGCAGTTTCGAAATGAGTCTTAAATTAATTTAAAAAATAATTGCATAATTCAGCTCTGACAACCATGTGACACCTAATTTCCTTTCCAATCTTCATAAAGACACGTCGCAAGCGGCGTCGGAGAGGAAAGTGTGAGCGACAGTTCCGCTCAGACGTACGCTGCCCAGGTGGACACGGAGAAAAACCGAAGAGAGCCAGAGAGCCAGATGAGCCCAGACGCCCAGATGACACCAGGAAAATCCGGCTCGGCGCAGACAGACGGGAGCGAGGCGTCAGCGGAGGCTGACGTTTCGCAGAAAATGGCCAAAACCAAAACAAAGCCTGCAGGAGAGCAGACGGAGAGGTTCACCTCCTCCGAAACAACAACAGGAGGGTAAGAGGAGCAGAACTAATTGTCAGGGCGTCAGGAGGTCTACTTGGCCCAGCTCTTTTTCCCTTTTCTACTTGTTACTTTAATCCCTGGTTAGTTCGCTGCTGCAGCTGTGAAGTCAGATGTGCAGTTTTTACTTTGTTAATCAAGTTCACGTGCTTCCTGTGTTACAGGGAAGGTGTGAGTGCAGACTTTATGGCTGCCTGTCACTTCCTCAACGACCACATGGAAAACATGGACAATCCCAACGATGACATGGTACGTTGGACAATACTTCGAAAATACTCAATGAAGCCGAAAAATCCAAAAATAAAGTTCATTCATCTGGTCAGACGATGCTGTCGCAGCTTCCCTGATCTCCGATCTTTCAGAATCCCAAAGTACTCGTAGTAGTGATTTTGTCGAGTGTCAATTGTTGACGTTTTTTTTTTTCATTTCTGTAATTACTTAATCCAAATTCTGTCCCATCTGTGCCGACAGAGAAAGGCCCTGGTGGTGCTGTTCCAGCACTGGTTCAGTGCGGCAGCGGAGGAGGCCTCAGTTCCCAGCAAGGTGTCTGTGTATCTGAGGGAGGTGAAGAAAGCCACCCCATCACTGCTGGCCTTCCTCATCAACCTGGCCGACGACAACGGGAACACGGTGCTGCATTACAGCGTGTCTCACTGTAACTACGGCATTGTCGGTCAGCTCCTGGACACGGGTAACGCAGAGCTAAAAGCGCTTGACTTTGGTTTTTGGTAGTTTTACTACGGAACGAATCAAAAACGTTTTTGCGTTTTCTCTGCGACACACAGGCGTGAGCGATTTGAACCTCCAGAACAACGCCGGCTACACAGCAGTGATGCTGGCTTCACTGACTGCTCCCGACGGACCTGGAGGCATGGAGGTGGTACGGAAGATCATGGAATTGGGGAACATCAACGTTCGCTCCAGCCAGGTAACGGAAACGCAGAGACTTTTACTTTCGGATGAACGGTTCCAAAATACAAGTGAAACCAAAATTTTGGGCTCCACATTTGAACTCTAAATGTGTTCAAACTATTTAAAACTGCCTTGGAACACACCACCGGGGCAGCGGTGGCTTAGTGGTTTAATGAAGCGGACTTGGGTCTGGAAGGTTTGAGGTTCGAGTCCGCCAGTTGCTAAGTTACTACTGAGGTGCTCTGAGCATGGCACCGTCCTCACTTCATATACTGTAGTTGTATGCACCTGCACCAGAATAATTTTAATTTAGCGTCTTCACTAAATCATATGTAGGATTACAAACCTAATTAGGAATAAATTATACAGGAATTAACTGGAACAGATCTTTTGATCGCCTCCCTATCTCCTCCTCACAGACGGGCCAAACCGCTCTGCACTTGGCAGTGAGGCACGGTCGAGTCGTGATGGTTCGCCTGCTGCTGAGCTGCGGCGCTGACACCAACATTCAGGACAGTCAGGGAAACACAGTGCTGATGTTCGCAGCGGAGAGAGGTCACACCCACATCGCCAGGCTGCTGCTGGAGAGGAGCCAGTGTGATCTGACGCTCACCGATAAGGTAGATATTTGCTAGCAGACATTGGACAACGCTGTCTTTACACTGTAGACCAGGCATGGGCAAAATAAGGCCCGGGGGCCGGATGCGGGCCGATCAGCTTTTTTAATCCGGCCTGCCAAATCTTTCCAAATTATATATAATCCAGCCTGCCAAATCTTTCCAAATTATATAATAAAATTATATATTATATTATATATATATATACATATATTGCAATATACATTGCATTATACATTGCAATATACAAGACTCAGAACTTGCCCTGTGAGCCACAATAAAAGAGTTGTTTATTTGATGTACTCAATATATATAGGGCTTATTTTTCTGCAGTAAACGTATGTGTCTGTAATACGTGTGCAGAATCTAGTATTTTCCTGTCGTCTCTCTCCAGCGGGGTCAAACTGCCATTTCCATTGCTATGCGAGGCTCCCACACTGACACAGCCGCCCTCCTGCAGGCTCATGCTAAGGCTCGAACTCTGTAGACCAGCAAACCAGAAGAGAATCTGCAGATATCTTGTATCCTTGCGTGTATAATTTGACGGTTGTTAGTTTAAAGCGTCATGCCATGTGCTTGGATTGAGCTGCTTTTAAGTTTTGTTTTGTTCCTGATTGTATAACGTCATTAAAAGGACAACATCATCAGCTGGAGAAGCGAAAGCTCGGATCTTTGTTGTTGATGTTGTTCATAGTTTCTATGCAAAAAGTCAAGTCATAAAAACTAATGTTAATATTTATTGTTTGTTTTACATTTGCCCCATGTGGAGATGTATCTGTGTTTTAAATAAAATGTTTCCAATTACAACTGCATCTCTGTCAGAGAAAAATATGCTAACATTGTTGTCGCCCCAGCTCAGCCTTGCTGCCTTGACTTATTTGGTCAAATAACCGGAAAACACATAGGGAAATCAAAAGAACCCTTTCATTGCTGTATGTGGTGTAGATTATCAACTGTACTGAAAGTGCTGTTTTTCAATAAATATATATATATGATATTTCTTCTGCGTTCTCAATTATATCAAATATTCCCAACTGTGTGTGTTCTTTTTCCTATTAGGAAATTTTTACCTTAAACCTCACTGTAGCTTCTTTTTAAAATGATCCTTATGTTATATTTAAGTAACCTTAATGACTTATTATTTAATATAAAATGTCTGATATATCAATGACATATTTACCTTAATTTAACGTTGCAAAATCAAACAAACACAATTAAGTACTTTTGTTCAAATTCTAAACATGCACAAGCATGTATATGCTGACGACCATTCTCAATGTATTTAATTTAAAAAAAAAACTACTCACTTCACTCATTGAATGCTATAAAGACGACCATGCTTGCTGTAATACCACATCTATCCAGCAGGTAGCAGGGCTTCACCAATGTCTGTGATACATATAGCTGAAGTAACTGTTAACTAAAAAACTATTTGAAATTATTTTGTATTTAAATTTATTTTTGTAGATTTACAGCAATGAGCTTTTCTGTTACAGTCGTCAAAGCACGTACTTTCTACCAAAGAAAAAGTTCTAAGAGACTCAACTAAAAAAAAAAAAAATTAAAAAAGTGAATGTCAAGTGTAGGGGACGCGCTGATATTGGAACGTTTGTAGAACGGAAATAGGAATACGTTGTACGGACCTTATTTCCGGTTGTGCTTCTGGCGCCTGAGAAACGAATGTTAGTCGTTTGTGCTTTCAGCGGGCATTGAAATTAAAAAAAAGTGGGCACGGTGGCTACACCTGACTGATTGAAATGGTGGGTTTTTGAAAACAATTGTATGTTGTATTTTGTTTGAAATGGTAGTCGTTCGGTCGAGACCGTTAGTGCAATTTACGCTAGCATATGCGTCACGGCAGCTAACGTTAGCATTTGTCAGAGTTTAATATGATTCGTAGTTAGTTTTTCGTCCTAAATAATGAACATGGAGTTGTCGTGGTAATTAAGTACAAAATAAATTGTCCTTTGACGGTAGTTTGAGCTGGGCAGATAAAAAAAAAGAAATTAACGTGCAAATATTGCTTTTCTGTACAGAAACCCATCCTACTACAGGGCCACGAACGGTCCATCACTCTAATTAAGAACAACGGAGAAGGTGACCTTCAGTTTTCCGTCGCTAAAGACCCAGTAAGTGACACGAAAGATTAGAGACAGGAGTTAGTTTGACGTCAAGAATATGGAATGTCCACGTGGAGCTACAAATAAAAATTGTGTTACAAACATAAGACTATCTATAGTGTGTGTGATATGAAAATCATTCTGTAATCATGAAAAGGGGACTTGGGCCAGTAGAATTAATTTATTTTCATTGAGATTAAAAGGAAAGTAGTGCAACATGGATTTCCTCCTGAGGTTATTGGTGGCGCCAGTAATGGAGAGCAAACTAATAATTTGTGAAGTGAAGCCATGATTTATCTTCAACAATGTCTCTCCACACAGGTGGCCAACGTGTGGACCGACTCGGTACTTAAAACAGAGGCACGGGAGCTGTACAGTGCGTCGACTGTGACTGTATCCTTTGACGTTATTTAGCTATGTACGCTGCCATAGCTTCACCAGAGATGTCATAAGTTGATAACACTAATAATTAGCAATATGAATGTCCTAACATTTCCTGAGTAGCGTCAGAAAATATAACCAAAGTGCAATAATATTATGACATTAAAGGTGATGTTATCATGCAACAGCACCGTGTTGTGAAACCAATAAAAGCATAATAATTGTAATATTGTGATTAATTGTCTGACAGTTGTTGTACCAAGTAAATGTGTAATCATGACACCGTTGACCCTAGCCTACGCTGATGAATTGCTGCCACGATACATGCTACGTTCCCTAACTGGCTCTTCTCAGGGGACACCAAAAATGTCTTGACAGGATCAACTGTCGACTGTGAGACCAGAGGGTAAAAATAAACTGGATGTGATAAAAGTTTCTGAATCCCTCAGGAGTTCCAGCACCAAAACAACAATAAAAATGCACAAATAGGTAAAATACATTAAAATACACAGATGAGTAGCAGAACATTGTCATTGAATATGGGAAATCTGAACAGTGGATGTTAGTAGAAGTAGATGGATAGATTAGTGTTAGTAGAATTAGTAGGTAAATATTGTTGCCATGTGTGTTGTTGATTGCAATCTCAATAATATATATTATATTTTTGGTATACTATTGTTCTAAATTAAATTAATATGATGTGTATGTATAATAAAGTATACCACATACCTATGATATTTATAATATGCAGTGTAAATAGTTGAGTAGTGAAATAATGAAATTAAATAAACAGATAGCTATCTAGGTCGTTCCAGCAGGCACCTGTTTAAATGTATTTTGGATAATTTTCTGTCTGTTTTATATTTTGGTATTTAATTTGTGCTCTGTGCAACGTAAACTAGTTAATACTGTAACAGAAACAAGACTGCAGATAGTACACAGCTTCCCGAGTACTGCTAAAGAAACAGTTTGCACACAGTATTATAGAAATGAAATAATGAAGGAAATAATGACTTACAGACAGACAGTATCTGTTGTAGAGCTTGTGATAATGAGGAGCT